TTGGTCCAGCGTGAATTAGCAGTTGCTTTTAAGGCGTAGGTCAGTTCCGGTCTCAAACACAGTCCGTCTTACTGAACGTCGCTATCGATATTGCGGATAATACTATTCGTGAGCCAGAAGATTCGATCGCTGGGACAGTACTTTTATTCGCCTGACTTTTCGACCACCATCGCGGTTTCTTCATCAGAGACGTGAGCAGAAAATAATAGCAGAAACTAGTGATACATGCACAGACAGTTGCAGTTTTTATAGGACTCAGTTATTACTGCACACGCATGATACATAATGACAATTAACGATAATTGCCCTCTTTCCCATAGATTGCTTGATGACAGGCAGGCGGGCCGTGACCTGCTGAGCTTGCATCACGCGTGGTGGAATTGAACGTGATGATTGCTCGGCCAACTGGTTCCCCGGTCTTGATGTAAGACGACGCGGTGGCCTGTTACTTCCCCAAGTGGCCATTTGCTTTTGCCAAATTGAGCCTCAGTACCGAATAAGGATTCGGCAAGTCATTGTTTATGGACTGGGGCCCCTGAACCATGTCTCAATCAATTCTCGACACATCACATTCGAATATGTGGCCGGGTCTCGTCGAATGAGCTGCAGCTTGAGAATTAGCGTCATTTGTCGGCACGGCTGTCGCGTGTTCAGCAATTCCCGTCTTGAGAAGTCTGCCAGTTTCTCCAACGTACTTGCTTGGTGCAGGATTTATACCAGCAACACTTATAAGTCGATTGGCGCAATTGTGAAAAATGATCGGCCTCTTTGGGAGTCGAACCCTCACAACAGGGAAGGCTTCTGCGCAGCCAACGCTCCACCATTTGAGCTACGAGGCAGTTTCAGTCTGCTTAACAATAAGAATGTTGGTAGTAATAACAACGGGGATCTTCTTACAGGAAGTACTTGTCACAGAGTTTGCAACAAAAAAGATATGCATTATATTGCGTATGTTTTAGGCTTTACCGCGATTCAGAGCGGTTTTCTTGCAGAAATCGCCTTCACAAATTCATGTGTGTCTTAATGTTACTAGTGCAAACGCTCAAAAAGTTATAAAACTGCTAACCTTGTCAAAAGACTGTTTCATTTTCGTCCCCCAAACTTCAAATTCGTAGCCCTCGCGGAATCCATTTTCGCTGAAGCTAATGTTGCCGGTTAGACCGATAAAGGAGGTCTGAAAACAATACGCAGTGATCAGTTAAAACGAGAACGCCTATACATCAAATTGTTTTTATACTTCAGTACACAATGAAAAAAACGGTTGGTGGAAGATGAGGTGCGGAGACTGCCTTATTTGATATGCAACTTGTCAATGAAATTTATTGGTGGAGGTTAAATTAAGTTCCCCAAACTGCACGCAAAACCCTATCTTTGTGTAATATAGGACTTGTGGTAATAAAGATTATACATTTTAGACATAACAGAGGAAAGAAAATATGAAAAAGGAGAGCGTATAAAAGTAGAAAAAATGGGATAATTACTTCAATAATTTAATGATTGGCAACCAAACGGTGAACCATAAATAAAATGTGCAAATTTGCAAATATCGCGAACTGCTCGAATAAAATTAGAACCACATGCCACTTATAAGTCTAAAACAAAACTAAAGTAAACTTATCAAAGAAAGGTAGACTAAAGTAAGCTAACCTAAAACCCAACCTAAACTAAAGCCAACGAAATAAGGAGAGGTAAACTGAAATAAGCTAAACCAACGAAACTAGAAATTCATCTCAAACTAAAAATAAACTAACAAAAACATAATAGTGAACCAAAAACTCAACTAAAATATAAATAAGCAAGGTAAATCAAACGAACTAAATTAAAATAAAGTAAACTCGTAAATATATTAACTCGAAAAGCAACCGCATGTAGCCAATAAACCTAAAAATAAATCAAAAAAATAAACGAAAACATAACCAACCTAACTAACCAAAGAAAAAACTAAAATAAACTAAACTAAATAACATAAAAAGAAATCCTAAACTTAAATAAAACTAATAAAGTTTCATAACACACTAAAAACAAAACTGAAACTAAAGAGAAAAATAAAACACATTATCAGTAAATTGCGTGTATTTCTCTTTCTATTAATGGCGCACCACAAATTGCTGCCAAACATTCCATTAGTTAAACAATTTTGGGGACCTAAATTTAACTTCCACCGTTTTATTATTAGTTTAAATCATGCGAAAACGTCAGCGTACGCGAATAAGGCCCAAGAATCACCCAATACTACCTGTCGCATTTTCGTCACCAGCGACGTCGCCGTAAATGGAGGCACGAAGTTAGGCATACAGGGAGCCGAGAGCGAGGACTTGTAAGCAGTAGTCAGGGAGTTCCGTGCATTTTCATTGCCCAGTTTGTCTGCTTCGGTAGAGAGGGGGTCGTTGAGGAGTTTGAGTACTTCTACAAGCGCGTGCAGTCCGTCAATCATTAGAGCCGCTTCATACTGCAATTGTGCGGAGGAAGAAGACTATAGTCAAATGACGGCTTTTAAATACGAAAAGAACATTATAATGCATTTTTGCAATATAAGCGAAATTCTGGTCCCTGGAGGTAGTTTAGAGGAGGCATATGCGATTGCTGGGACAAGAACTTTATTCAACTGATGTTTCGGATTCCGTCGCGGATCCGTCATCAGAGACAATTGCAGAAATGGATAATTTATACACAGTGACACAGGCAACAAAACAGTCCGCGAATCGATTGGAGCCTGGGCCTCAGATGAGAACTCAGTTAATCGATTCATCGATCTGGCGCTGGCATACATCGCGCTGCGCAGGCATCTCCGGACTAACGGCTGATGTGCCTTTGCGTCCTATAACTGTTGCTTGTCTTTCTTCTACGCCTTTCATCTCTGATGATGGACTCCAGAACGAGGCCGAAAGCTCAGATAAGCAACAGTATGATTGGGGTGATCGCAACGCCTTCTACTTCTCTATCTACAGGGAATTGCTATACTACTGTACACATACGAAAATCAAACGCTCCCCCACCGAGGATAGTTGTTGGATTGTGACCTAATTGTTTAATGGCCAGCATGTGGATTCCCAACTGCTGAAATATCATCACTCGTGCTGGACTTTGGCGTAAAGATTGCGCCTTCATCTGGCGTTGGCGTTTGACGACGCGTTTGCATGTGCGCGGGTGATGAAAGTTCCGCAGGTCACGACCCACATGTTGGCCGTCAAGCAAGTAGCGCAGAAGTGGGCAAGTGGGGGGCCTTTAGTTGTCGTATGTATACAGTAGCATAAGGACAGTTGCCTATAAATACAGCAATTACTCTGAGCCTAAATTATTCGTTCATGTTGTTGTCTCTGAGGATAGACCCGCAATGGAATCCGAAACGTCAGTCGAATAAAGTTATGGTCCCAGCGATCGTATCTACTTCCCATAATTCAATTAAAACAGCGAACCATCTGACAAGGAGAGCCTTAGCAAACCAGATACCTCTGGCATAGAGTACATTCCTTACTATAAAAATCTAGATCCCAAAAAATTGGACACGGGTAAAGGCACACCCCACACCACTAAAATAAATGACTCTACGATATATTGCATGAAGGATAAATATCCCCGTGTCGTAACTGCAACTTCATCCCCCATAAAACTTAGTTGTAGCCCCAATCCCAACTCCTAACCTGTCCTAAACGCAAATCCTGCAGGTAGCATCAACCTTAATCTTAAAGCTAACCCCTTTACCCTTAGAATTTGCCGTCAAGACACCTGTAATACAGGTGGTTCCTGTTTAGGTAGCCCTATCAAAACTGAATCTAAGACGCATATACGTTACTGTCTATCGAATAGGCCGTGGAGCAATCAAAAAATCTAGCGTGAAACTCTATAACAGATGATAAAATACGCGAAAAAGTAGACTAGATATTTCTACTGGCTCACACGTTTAACATGGGATTGTAAACGATGATTGCCCTGGCAACTCATTTATCCAGTCGCCAGCGCTTGCCTTCGTTCATGTACTTGCAATCATAACAGGAAAACTGACGTGCTTACCGTGAGGTTGGTCGGCAAATAGATGGGTTCGCGAGCTCGTGGGTGCAGCTCGCTCAGGTAGTTCTTCATCGCCGCTGAATTGAAGTTGATTAGAGAGAGGACCGTCATGTTTATGCCGCCATAACGCAGAACGCTGCTGTTTACCATCTTTGTGTCCTGAAAGACGACATAAAGATGTACTTCACACCTCGATGCGTTACACAAGAGGAAGAAAGTTCAGTAACAGTCAATTATGGGGCTCATCATGGAAAACACACCCCCAGAATTCTTCTATACTTGACCGGTGGCAATGAAAATTTATTATTAATATATTATGAGGTTCAGTTATAACATTGCTTTAATCATCTCCTTTGAGAAAGCAAGGGTAATAGGCTGAGACAATGACAAAATGGTCAGATTGCTGCTAGAAAGTTAGTCCTCGACTGGCACACTCAACAGAGCCATGTACCTTCATCCCGCCTATCAAGCGCTCCACATAAGGCTAACATCTGCTCAGAATAGAGCAATAGATCGAGCGAAGGAAGAAACACAGGGTCGACAGCCGCGAGCGAAGAAGATGAAAACGCTCAGGAGGCACAGAAACGACTTGGCACACCTCATGGAGGCGCCCGCGACGACGCGAATAATTCAAACAGCCACCAGCAATCGACTGGTACAATCAATCGACACGCGGGCATCAGGCACAGCTAGCGGTTAGCCAGACTCACTCGATACTACGCTCTGACGATGGAAGCGAGAATGCTTTTGAAACGTCAGCATAAATACACCTTGGTCTCAGAAATTGCTCTGTATTCTTCTTCCTCTTCCGGGGATGACGAAAGCAAAAATTTAGTATTGTATTGAATTATTTAATTTAATTTACTGTTTATGTCATTTACTTTAATCTTCCAGTCATCATAAACCTCTGGTCTGCTCTGTTCACGATACTGACTACAGATACTCTTATTCGAGCATTGAGTATTTCCAGGTGCTAAAGTTAGCGCGTAAGCAGTGATCACAGCAAGGAAATCTGCCTTGTACTTGTGGTTAGTATTTCCTAATTTCAAAACTTTTAACTACCTTATCAAATTGACAGTTAGGTTCTGGCCAATGCAGTATAAGATGCTGTATTAAATGAATGGTATTGATGAAAATTGTATTTTTAGATACTTTGTTACGAAATGCAATAATCAGGAATTAGATATCAACTGTGTAACCACGTGCATTCATTACCTGCATAGCTTTTGGCAAATCTTAAACTTCCATTCTGTGATTGTCAGAGACATTGTATAATTTATGTCGCTGTCAAGAAATGCTGATATGATCTTAGTTGCAGCAAACTACGCTAGAGGATAATTCAGTTAGCCGGTGAACAAAATGGTCCTGAACAATCGATGTTCCTTTTTCATGCAGTGGCCGGCAAACCTTGCTACAGCGCAAATATTCAACGCTCCTCGTGTCGCGCAACTTTCTAGGGTCTTGTATCCCATGATCAGGTTCGGAGAAAAAGGCATCATGGTGCTTAAACTATTCGCCTGCCACACCGGTAATCTGCCTTGAGTCTCATTGTCGGACTCTGATAGCAACCACACAGCGGCTAGGCAGATAGTATTGCTGGCAAAGACAAGGGAGACTGGAGTGACCATTTTTGGCCTATAAGTAGTCGACAGCCAGTCTAGCTTGCTAGTCAGAGCCTTAGACTTCTGATAATAGGTCGGGAGTATGAGCCTCGGGTGAAGCACCACTTGTGGTTTGGTATGAATAGCTAATGACGGCTAATGAGCTAGAAATTGCAATTCAAGTTTCTACCGTCTTTGCCGGCAATGCTATCTGTCTATAATATTGTGGGAATCGTCCGCAGTTCACCCCAGAAGGTTGCGTGTTCAACTCACGTCGTGGTCATCAATTGTCGCGAGTAGTTGTGACGATAGCAGAAGGGCCTCCAAATCTCAAATCTGATAAGACGGAATGAATTCGAACAATCTCACAGAGCTCAAGTAACTACAGTAGCCGCTGCAAGCGCCGCATACAAAAGCCAGCCGCTTAGGTGCAAAGTTGTGGATGTGTCATGTTTAGGCTGTGGAATCAGTAGTCAATTGTCTGCCGCCAATCAGCTGAGGCGGAAGTATCAATTACCTTTGAGTGTACGCGCGTATGAAGCGGCGAGTGGGCCGATACCGCGTGGAATAGGTGAGTAGGAATGGGTGTAAGCCCGGGCATAGCGAAAGCAGAATGAGTCAGCGCAACAGGCTCCCACAATATTATTAGTCTTGTTCAAGGGTGAGGAGTTAATTAGTCTAGGTGAGGTTTGCAGCCACGCCAGCATGCGCAAGGCCTGTGTACGGTCAATGTTCTTACACCCTGTGCTACGATCTTCCAACCGTGGGCCGTGAATTTGATCATGGTTCGGTCGAACTATCCAGCTAACGCTAGCTGACCATCAGAAGAGAATTTACGAAGCAAGCAAATCAGAAGGCCCGAGATGACTATCAGACTCACCTGATTAAAAAACATTAAAAATATTACATAAAGAATACCCACTGTATAAGGCATGCTGTCAAAGTACAAAATAACAAATTTCAAACTGCATGGCAGGTATCCAGAGGAAAGGTCAGAGGCGTCTATCCCGTGCCAAAAAGGATCTAGCCAGTCACCTCTTTAAAATGTCAAAACAACCATATCGGGCTTGCGTAAGAATGAAAATTAATTAGTCAAACATTCTGGTTTTTTGAGCTTGGAGCTCGTTAGAAAGCCGACATCCTATTGTGACTGAAATGACTTCAGAGTAGACTACACGATAATCAGTATTACAACCTTATTCAATGCCGATTAGCGAAGGAGTATTAACCTTCCGCATATGTCGGTACGTTACACAAATTCTAGGCCGTACCTTACTTAAAGCATTCAAGAACTGCAGATTTTAATGCTCCCAATATGTTTCGTAAGTACTCGTCAGGTGCTGCTTCTCGTTACATAACATGGGAACGTGTGGGAGAATACAACAATTAGAAAAAAATCGATGCAAAATAAGTTCATAGCAATTTGCCACGTAGACTAACCAATAATGTTAGCGAATTAAAAGTAACCAGGGAAATCCCAAGTGGGTGAAACTTTTAAGGCCAAAAAGGAAGAAGAGATGAATTTGTAAACCTGGAAGCCGAATACTAATAAGGCAAAACTAGCTTAACCACCTGCTCTGACTGTTTACATAAGTGGTTTCATTAAATTCTACAGTTTTTGCATGCTTTTCGTTTGCACCAAGGAAATAATGCTTTAAAAGACCGGTATATATGCAAAAGCTAATCACAAGAACTGCCGTGCAGCATTTGGTTTCTGTGAGGTCTGTGGACAATAAAAGAATCAGCCTTAACTCTAAAACACTTAATGCAATTTTCTTCTCCGAAAAACCGAAAAAAACACAGATATGCATACCTAATTTTCAGTCTTTACTGAGTTAAAGTCGATAGCAGAAAACAAACAATCTAAGATTGTCTGTCTTTTTTTAAATGCGCAGTTTATGCACCAGAGAACTTCTTCCTCCTTCGGAAGTTGTTTTGCTTTTCTGCTCATCACTTTCAACAATTTATTCCTTCGCCGAGAGACGCGCTGGGCAGACCTACGGACAGCCAATTTGTCCGCGGGCGGAAAAAGCGTGGATTGGTTG